AGCGTGTTTGTTGGTTAGGATTGGGCCTTTCTAATTATTAATGCAATCTAGAAATTAAATCCTACGGTCGTACCTAGGGTTGTTTTTGGGTTAGAGAAATAGCTAACGGTCGTACCTTAGCTATCGAGAAATTAAGGAAGGGTTGGTTGTTTATCGCGTGCATGACAACTATAACTAATCTATTACTAAATATTGGAATTATTTCTGTATCAATGATCAGTACATGAACCATTTCTGAAGTGTACCCTTGGCTAGAGTTTCCCCTTAATTATTTCTTGGAACTAATTATTTCCTGCAGTTAATTTATTTAGTTAGCATTTAATCCAAAACCCCCCATACTTTGAACTCTAGAAGAAACGAATTATCCCCAGTCCCTGTGGATTCGACCCTACTCACCGCTATATACAAAATCTGTATTTTTCTCGAGTAGGTATTTATTATTGCACAGGTTCGGCACCTGTCAATTTTTGGCGCCGTTGCCGGGGACTGGTGTCAGATTAATTTATTTCTTTTTGAGTTCATCTTATTTTTATTTTATTTTATTTTATTTATCTCTTATTTTTTTTTATATAGTTTATGGCTGCTAACATTCCGTATTTTGATGATAGACTGGATTTTGTTCCTGAATGGGGTTATGAGACTCATGTTTTTCCTAATGATCAATGGGCTGTTGCAAATTGTGGAACTTATTTTGACTCAGGTTATTCAACTGACACATGCCTCGTATTTCAAGATAATTTAAGTTCTCCACTTGATACTTTTGGAGATTTTCCACCCCAATATCAAACGCAGTATGACCCTTATTCAAACGGGTATGATCAAGGATGGTGGGATAATTCCAATTTTGATTATGCGACGGGGCCAATGGATTTTCAACAGCAAGAGTCTCAGCAATCATCCTCCGTGTCAGGTATGTCTCTTGAAGAAATGATGGGATTACTAATTGCTAATACAAATCGATTTCATCAGGAGACACAAGCGAGCCTAAATCGATTTCATCAGAAGACACAAGCGGGCCTAAATCGATTTCATCAGGAGACACAAGCGAGCTGTCGCGACCTGGCGGATCAACTGCGTCAATTGACATCCAGGATAGATCGATTGGCTTCTCAAATGGAAGAATTGCCCGCACAAACCAATATCAATCTTGAGGAAGATGAGAGTGCAATTGTCCGGCCAAATGACATGGAACTGCAAGAGTTTCAAGAAAACGGATTTAAAGATGCAGTTGAAAAGGAAGTTGAAGTGCAAAAAATGAGACTCCAGGATCAACTCATTCAAGTGAATGAATCCAGTGAACAAGCTCCAAATACGGTGACATCTTCTCCACTCCTTCATCAATGTTCTCCTGACTCTTACTCTTCAATTCCTGTTAACGAAATTGACTTTATTATATCAGACAATTTTGAATTTCATGACAGGAATAAATTAAGAGTGGCGATGGCAAGATATCTTGAACCAATAAATGCAAGTGAGGGAGAAGTGAATGGAGAATGCAAACTATCATCGACTCGTTTGGCGCCATTCACTAGTCCATGGAAGCCCGTAACTCGTATGCTCAAGGATTATTCTATTTACGAGGGTTATCAGGACTATATAGAGGATGAAGCATTAAGACGAGCCACACGATTTTATCCTCCATGAAAAAAACATAATAATGTCTAGCCAAAGACATTAAAGAAAGGCGCTCATTGGGAGGCAACCCAATTGTTTCTTTTAGTTGTTTGTTGGTTTCGTGTCATAGTTTAAATCTGTTTTCCTTGAATTTGACTGATTTTGGGTGTTAGTTTTCGTTTTTGCTGCTTTATAGGTGCCATTCAGTCATGACGTGCCCGCGTGGTGACGAGCAGGAAGCTCACGATCAGAAACTTCAAACTTCTGGGAGCTCTCTCGCCCTCATGACGTGCCCGCGTGGTGATATGCAGGAAGCGCACGACCTGAACTTGTGGGAGCTCTCTTGCTCTCTTGACGTGCCCGCGTCACGTTCGCGGGAAAGGTAAGATTAAAAAAAAAAAAAAAAAAAAAAAAAAAGAGAATTTTTCTTATCACCGTAGCTTTAGTTTCAAATTTCAAAAAAAAAAGAAGAAAAATTTTAAAAAAAAAAAAAAAATTTGATTCCCGTAGGAAAAAAAACAAAAAAAAAGAGAGGAAAAAATATTTCTCACATAGCTCCAATGGAGCCTAAAAAAAAAAAAAAAAAAATCTTTTTTTTTTCTTTTTCTTTTTCCTTCTTTTCTTTCTTTCTTTTCTTTCTTTTTCTTTCTTTCTTCTTCTTTCTTTCTCCCCCGCTGCTCCCCTACTCGCTGCGCACGCAGCCAAGAAGCTTCGTCGCCCACTACCAGCTCGCCAGGCCCAAGCCGCTGCCCGCGCTCATCTCTCTCTCTCTCCGCGAGCTCCGCCACCAGCTCCTCGCAGCTTCTACCTCCACCACGGGCAGTTTCACTTCGCGGCCAGGAGCTGCCGCGAGCCCGACAGAGTGCCGCCCATCCCCCCCCTTTCGCTGACCAGTCGCGCCCCACCTGCGCGCCGCCGAGACCATCTCCCCGCGTATTTCTTCTTCTCCAGCCGCGATACGCGGTCGCCGCACCTCCAGCTCAGCTTCACCTCGCCGCCAGCCCTCCCTCCAACTCAACTGCCGCCTGAAGCTCAGCACCACCTCCGAGCTCCACCACCACACGCACCAGCAGCTCCAAAGCTCACCACCAGCTCATGCCACTCTACCCCAACATCTTCACTGTTGCTGCTCCGCTACTCGAGCCATTCCCACCTGTCCAAATTGGCAGGTGGAGGTATTGTGATTTCCCCTTCGATTAGTGTTTTTCTGGTGCATCAATTACTAAGATTTTCCATATTTTTTTTTTCGTGGGTTTCGTGAGGGTTGAAGCCAGTAAGTAATTTGGGCATTTTCTGGGTTTCATTATCAGGGTGCAATTACGTTTATTTGCTGCTTCCTTTGGGATATTTTCTGGCATGGATTTCACTGTTGTGTTGGCCGTTTGATTAATTTTTCCCTGCGACTCACCAGTGGTACTGGTTGAGATCTTTTGCCTATCGTTATGGCTTATATTTGAAGATACTTGCTTCTTTTGAGTTTAAGTTCTTGCATTTGAGTTGCTGCCATTGAATTTAATTCTTTCCTGTCTGTGCACCAGTGGTACTGGTTGCAGGGTTGCTTTTCATTTTTTAATCATTTGTGCTGGACTGCCTACTTGATTCCATTGGTTGTTGCAATTGCCTTTTGCTTGGCCCAAGTGTTAGTTTTGATCGTTGAATTGGGTATTTGACTGTCCAATTGGAGACAGTTGTTGAGTCTGTGGGTGGAATTTTGTCCATTGCTGAAATTTGTTATTTTGATTAGCACTAGCACCGCTCTTAGTTTGTTCGACTTGTTGTTTTGGTGCATTGTTGGGAGCTGTGCTATGGTATTTTGAGGTACTTTCTGCGTCTGTTTTGTTGAATTGGAAGGCTACTGTGTCCCTTTCTTTGCTTATTGCTGATCGATTGTGTCTAATTGACTTGCTGGGATTATTTTACCTATTGATTTCAATTGCTAAATCTTTAGAGAATTTGTTGCAATTTTGGACGGCCTTAATTCTGGATTTAACTACATGGGGTCCATAAGTACTTATTGATTGCATTTGCTATAAGTGTTGGGATCTGGTTTAATCTGTGGGAGATTGAATTGTGCATTTTGCTCATTGGGATGGCTTTAAAAATTGTTATTGCTTTGAATTTTCGGCTTCCATTATTTGTTGGGAATTGTAGTCTCTTGTTGCTTAGAGTGATATTTAGAGTTCATGGTGAAGCCACGAATGGCACCAGCTCCGGATGCGAGTTGAGAGACTAGAGATTCGGATGACGTCTCCATGCAGGTCTTGATCCACAATGCCCCTGTTTTGATGACTTCAGGGAAGTACCGTTGACCCTCTCCTTCCTTCTACTTTTACATTATCACATTGAGGGCAATGTGGGAATTAGGTGTGGGGGGGAAATCAGTTGGGGTGCTAGTATTTTTGTTTTTAGTTTCTAAAGGCTTTTCTTTTGTTTTAGTTTGATATTTATCTTTTTTTTTCGTTTATTTTCTTTTCTTTTTTTCTTTCTAGTGGTCAGTCTTCATATGAATACCAAGTTTGATGCTGGATTGTTGTCTCTAATTCTGTTATTGCCAAGTTTATTAATAAAAAGGTATCAAGTTGATGTGGTTGAGTTCAGGAATAGCTCTTTGGTGAATATCAATAATTGCTTAACTTTTCCAATTTTTGGTTAATTTTTCTAGGCATAGGGAATGATTGTTGGCATTTTTCATGTGAATTGGTCCAGTTATTAATTTTAGTTCTCCATGTCTAGAAATTTGAGGCTGGCTGCTGTTATTCTTGTGTTGCTTTTAGATATCGTGCTATATGATGTAAATAAGTATTGACTGTACTCCGCTAGTAGTTACTACTGAGTAACCGGGGATCTTCACCTAAAGTGTCGATTCTCGCGTCAAAAGGTAGTAGTTACTATGAGTGCGTGGTCCCGTAGCGATTGGAGCTGAGTAACCGGGCTCCTCCATCTATCAAATGTTGGAGTTCGCGTCAAAAGGTTCTAAGGGCTATAGACTAAGTCTTTTGTTATCCAAAAAAAAAAAAAAAAAAAAAAGAAAAAAAACAAAACGAAAAGGAAAAAAAATAAAATAAAGATTGTGTTAGTATGTGTATAAGTCAGCTTGCCGGTTTGTGATCTTAATGTCGAGATTTTGGTTAGTAATTGGACCGTTTACTAATAAATGTGAGCAACCATTCCTTTTTCTTAGATTAGTTTGCTTTAAATTGGAGGAGTTTGTGGTTTAGAAGCTAACCGGAGTGATGTTTCATGGATCTTGACCATTGATGCTTGATTATTATTTTTCTTGGTATCTTGGCAATACGGTAGTTGGAGTAATAGCCATTGTCGAATTTTTGGTGTTCAGTTGCTGTTCCCATGCTTGAGGGCAAGCATGATTTAGGTGTGGGGGAAATTGATAGGGTGTTAATTGTTGGTTATTTTATTGGTAATTTTCCCCTTTATCCTTGCCAAATATCGTTTTAATTATTAATATTTACTTATATTTGGTATTGGACTCAATTTCAGGAAGTGGAACAGAAAACTACAACAAATGAGGGACTTTTCACTATACAATTGAGACTTCAAACAGTTGGGCCCCATATGGTGCTACAAGGAAGCCTTTTTCGGTTGATGGCCCACAAGGAGAAGAAGAAAACGAATTCCTTTTCTTTGTGCTGATGGGAGTCTTTGACTAGCAATAGGAAACTAAACAAGGAGGAATTTCGGCAGAGCCTCAATTCTTTGGCTTTTGGACTCCTTAGTCGGCGGGGACCACTGGATAGCAGGAAGTCATTTCCCTTTGGCTTTAAAAGGACGAACGTGCAGAAGTTTTCGGGACCGATAGTTAGAGCTTAGTTTTTTTAGTTTCTTTTTCCCATCGAAGAACATTAGAAAGCTCCGATTGTTTTATTTTCTTGCACAGCTGGTTCTCCATTAATGGAGAACTAGCTTCTCAATTCTAGTGAAGGGAACAACTGAAGACTTGGTTCAACAATTACTGTGAGATCGAAATTATTTTAATCGCTTCCTCATTTATTGGTATTTATGTGTTTCTTGTTTTTAATTGTTATAGTCCTCATGTATGATTGATTAGTGCGCAATAATTAATTATTCATATAGGCTATTTTGCTAAATAGAGGTAATTGAATCCGTAATTGTTCGTTATCTCTATCTTAGTAGCAACTGGCGTAATTGGGTTTATGTCAGGGGAGCATATGATCTAGTCTAAACAAACCCTCGTAGCGTGTTTGTTGGTTAGGATTGGGCCTTTCTAATTATTAATGCAATCTAGAAATTAAATCCTACGGTCGTACTTAGGGTTGTTTTTGGGTTAGAGAAATAGCTAACGGTCGTACCTTAGCTATCGAGAAATTAAGGAAGGGTTGGTTGTTTATCGCGTGCATGACAACTATAACTAATCTATTACTAAATGTTGGAATTATTTCTGTATCAATGATCAGTACATGAACCATTTCTGAAGTGTACCCTTGGCTAGAGTTTCCCCTTAATTATTTCTTGGAACTAATTATTTCCTGCAGTTAATTTATTTAGTTAGCATTTAATCCAAAACCCCCCATACTTTGAACTCTAGAAGAAACGAATTATCCCCAGTCCCTGTGGATTCGATCCTACTCACCGCTATATACAAAATCTGTATTTTTCTCGAGTAGGTATTTATTATTGCACAGGTTCGGCACCTGTCAGACAGCATGCAATTTGGAGGACACTTGTCCTCATTAGCTAGCCAAGTAGCATGCAAATGTAATTTTGATCGGTTAAGAGGCAACAAGTAGAAGCTGGCTGTAGTTCATTCTTTAGTCTAGCTACCCGAGAGATATTAAGAGGAAAAAGGAGAGAAAGACCAAAAGAAAAGAAGCAACAACAACCAGGAATTCATTCTACCCTCCTTCAACCGTGAGAACCAGCCAAGAATCAAGAAGGATTTCAGTTTATCTAGCTAAGATTCGGGGAGAGAGAGATCAGAAATTTCTCCTAGCTTAAAGCCATTGAGAACTAGAGGTAAACTACTGAATTTCCTCGTCTTTTCTGTTGCGTTTAGCTAGCAGTCTTTTAGACTAAGTTAGAACCAAGAAAAGAAGAAAGAAATTTGGGAAGACAAAGTTCAACAAAGCTGGAAAAACAAATTCGTTTAAAGCTGCTACAAGCTACCTGATGAACTAAGCTGCAAATTCCTACCTGTTTCTTCCAAAAACTTGCTAAAATTTCGTTGCATGTCTTATGTATATTCTCTAGTTTACATTTCTTGACATGCATGCAGCTTCTACCTTCAGATGAAACCTGTTAAGATGAGATTATAATGAAATGCTGGCTGGAATTCTTGATACAGTGAAGAATGATTGCCGGCAGAGTAAAGCTAGAAAATTTCAGTTTTTTTTTGCTAAGAGTTTTTGTTGAACCTGGTTAGGATTTACTTTAAGCAACACCTATAGCTTTAATCTGATCATGCATATGATGTTTGAAGTGTTAAAAGCAAGAAAAGATGAACTTTTAAATCAACACCAAATCTGGAATTTCAAGACACCAAACCAAGAAGAAAATTGCAGAAACCGAGAGTGAAGAATTGAAATTTTCAGCTTGCTATCGATATTTCTTAGAGAATAATGTCAAGAGAGGCATACCGTATATATTTAACTTGAGTTTACATGAGGCTTAGCTGAAGAAAATTTAGATTAAAGGCTGATTAGGTGCTGGAAAATTTCTGAGATGACCGATGCTAAGGAGCTGGAATTTTAACGCTTGTAACTAGAAATTTCTTGAAGATTCATGTTAGCAGAAGTATGAAATATATCTACTTCAAGTTATATAAGATTACTAGTTGTGAAAGTAATGGTATATAAGTAGTTTTAGTTGGAAATGTTGAAGGGAGGCTGCTGGAAATTTTCCAGCTTCATCCAAGAGAAAGGAAGGGAAGAAACTTTAGCTGTCATCTGCAAATTTTGGTTTAAATTTCGTATTTAAGCTGTAATGTTTTGTAAAGCATCTTAACTTCCTCAAGTATGCCAGAAACAAGTATAAACTGAAGTGATGTTTGGAGGAAATATAAGCTTCAAACTGGTTGCTGCTAAATTTTTTTTTCAATAGCCGAGAGAGGAAAGATAGAACTTTGACCAGCTTTTCCCTTCGAATCTTTGGCTGCAAATTTCATATTACTGCTTAAGATACCCTGTAGCATGATAACTACTCTCTGCATGTTAGGTTGGAGTGGAAAAATGAAGCAATTGTGGAGAAAGTTTCACAATTAAACCTGCCAAATTGTTGGAAGATTATACCTTAGCTGATGACAGATTTATGGTGGCTTCTTGGTGGAATACCATGCTGGAATTACTTGTTGTTTGTTTTATTTCATGTTGGATAGAATGTATGTTGTGTGATTGGTGATTTAAGCAAGTAAAAGATGGAAACCTTGTTGAAAATCTTGAAGTAACTTTGCTGGAAAAATCTGTTTTGCTGGCTGAAGAAGCGCAGAGCTACCCCCGTGGAGGCCAATTGTGTGTTTTGTCCGCCCCAGCATCAGGTGCTAATTAATGTGTAGCTAATCTTAATTGCTTTCAGTTCAAAATTAAATTACATTAATTGAAATGAGATATGCACAAGTTTGGTGTATGTTTGCATATCGCTAAAAAGTTTCAGCTTATTCAAGTCAATTTGTATCGTCAAATTTTTCTTTTCAATGTTCCATTGGTTTCTCAATCTCAAATATGAGATTGCATCTCCTAAATGGTTGCAACTTGCAATCTGTAATGTGTTAGAAGTAAATATCTTGCACTCAAATAAACCCTTCAATATATGTGGATACATGGGAAGTAAATTAGATGTGGAAATAAGAAAATTTCAAATTAGCCGTCTGCCAATAACTTTCTCCCAATTTGGTTTGCTAATGAATCAGTTTTGTTTGGGTGATAACTGCTGTTGAAATATAAGATGCCATTTTAATGATTCTTGGTGATTGTCTAATTGTTTAGCGTTGGAATCATGTTGGTTTTCCAAGTTATCACTCAAATAACGATTACGTTTTCAGAAAGCTCTCGACCAATGATGCAATTGAAAGAATGCACTTCATGAATGCAGCAAGTTAAATTCTTTCAAAAAAATTTGGAACTATCTCCTAAAAAATGCAATAAAGGTATGTTTGTTCTCCATACCTTTAGTTTTCAAAACTTCCAACTCTCAAATTTGGTATCTTAGTACACTCTTATCTCTTATTGTTTACAAGCTTCACTAATCTATGAATACTCTGTTCCATTCTTTATGTGCACAAATTTTTTAATAGCTTCCACACCGGGGCAACATCATGCATCGCATGATGCCCCAAAAAACTAGTATATATATATATATATATATATATATATATATATATATATATATATATATATATATATATATATATATGACACACAAATTGAACTGTTTAACAAAAAGCTTCAACTATTCAAAAAATTACACTTACACAATTTTGATTGAGACTAATATTTGGAAAGTCTAAACGGACTGCTTCTTGTGAATAGCTTTCGTGCGGGGTTGGACAACCATAGAAGTTTCTCTCAAATTACTTACAACGGTGGAGTAAAGGATAAATAATTTATATCTCAGGAGGTTATTCCTCCCGTGGATTTCGATGAATGGTCATTTAAACTAGGGCAAATTCCACTTTACCCCTCTGTGATTTAGTATTTTTTTAACCCCCTATGGTTTCAAAAGATATACATAACCCCCTCATGATTTGGATTAAAGTGTCAAAATGACGGGAATGATCATTAGTAACGGAGTCACCTAAAATATCAAAAATACCCTTATGTAAAGTTGAAAATTATTTTTTAACCAAGGGAGGTTATGTGTATATTTTGAAAACTATAAGGGGTTATATGGTAAATATAAAAATTATACGGGATTAGTGTGTCATGTATTTATAAGGGTAATTTCGACATTTTTAGAAGTTCCGTTACGAATGATTATTTCCATCACTTTGACATTTTAATCCAAATCATGAGGGGGTTATGTATAGCTTTTGAAACCATAGGGGGGTTATGTAAAAAAAATGCTAAACCACAGGGGGTGAAATGTAATTTGCCCTTTAAACTATGTTTTTTATTAGGGTAAATTACACTTCAAAATGCTGACCGCCAAAATGTTCCCATCCAAGAGCCCCACGCGGACATCCGTCTGTGTTGTCCACAAAAGAGAACAATAAGTCAACAAAAATTAGGGTCAAAAAATAACAAAATTACAAAACAACCAAGCATATATAACATACATGTTGAATGAAGGGAAAAATAAATGGCATGATTGGAAAATATGGCAAACACCTAGGACTAAATTAATACTCATAAATAGCTAAGGTGGCCCATATCTCCGGATCACAGGGGGCAACAATGACTCAAACAAAAGAGGTACAAAGAACAAATAAATTACGAAAGAACCACAATACTATAGCATGCGTCTTCCGGTGTCCTGAGTAAGGGAGAAACAGCAAATGACATTACCGAAAAATGAAGCACCACTAAGGCTAATGCTAATTACATGAAGAGGAAATTGCTGACCATGAGGAAATGTTTCCATCCAAGAGAGCCACGCGGACAGAAGTGAATTTCTAGCAAAGCCATTGTCATCCAATGCCAAAAGACCAAAACGCCCCTCAAGTTCACACAAATCGCACTATAACCGGCCCATTTTCACTATAGCAATCCGAACTCCCACCTTTAGTATAGTAAAGATTTGAAACAATAACAAAGGGATTACTCGAAACTAGTAACCTATGGTATTGGCTTATTTTGTTTTAATGCAGTACCATAACATGCCGTGCAAGAGGGGCATTCACAATTATTTATTACTTATTTCATTGATAGCAGTACCATATCCATGATATATGGAGCTAAAGCTATAATCTTTAAAATCTGCCAAGCTAGCTAGTTGAAATGCTTCAAGTATGCAAATAAAACTTATATTATTGGTTTTAATTCATGTCATTGCGATGCCATAAGTTTGACACTCCTATTGTTAGG